ACCCATCTGATGTATCAGATCACACCATGCAGGTACCGAACTCCGCCGCGAAACCCGTGGTCCAAAGCACCAGAACTCCTCTGCTAAAAACTTGAGACCGAGAAGGGGTCGGCCGAGATACCACTTCCTACCCAAGCGGATTTCTACACCGACAGTATCTAAAATGTTTCTACTCTAATGCTCAAGGACTCCTCGGCAAATTTCCAGAGTTGCAGTTACGTTTTATATTTAGTCAATGGGATATTATTGCGGTTACAGAGACCTGGCTCTCAGCTGATATTTCGGACTCCGAATTGTCTTTATCAGAGATGTCCCTACTCAGAAGCGATCGTCCTACCCGTGGTAGTGGTGTTTTATTCTACTTCCGAAACAGTCTTCATTGCGAGCAAATCTACCCTCCCGTTTCGACACTGGACACTCCGTGGTGCAGATTGAAGTTGTCCAAACATGATGATTGTTTGATTGGTGTAGTCTATCGTCCCCCATCACCCCCGGGAGACAGCCAATGAGACGCTTTTACTAACTATGTCACACATTCTTACACAAAAATTCACCCATGTTCTCCTTATGGGTGATTTCAACTGCCCAATAAATAAGCCTCAATAAATCAGCGACCGTTTGCCCATTTTTCGAACACAATTCCAAACGGCTGATTGACTCGCATCCACTATACAACCATGTGAAGGTGGCCTCTAGGTTTGGCAACCTCCAGTCACCGTCCATACTGGATTTAGTGTTGACCAATGAGGAGCTGATGGTAGAGTCTGTCATGTGACTTCTCCCCGAGGACGTAGTGATCATGCAGTACTTACATTCAAATATGTCTGTTACGCATCGATTCAGGGAAGTTCCTCTGGTTACACGTGCAGATCTATAGACTACACACTGTTGAATAACTTGGCGCTCTCTGCTCAGTGGTTTTCTTATGACGAAGAAGCTAATCCGTTGATCGCATGGAAAAAATCTATCGACAATCTCACAAATATAATAACATCCGTGACTAAAACTNTACGAAATTCACCCATTCGAAGCCGCACAAGGAAATGGCTATTGGCGAGGGATTTAGCCTGGCGAGAGTATAATCATCTTCCGAATGCTTTCACATAGAATAATTACCGTATGCTGAGGAACCACTGCACCAGGTTGATTCGTGAGGATAAAGTGAAATACCAAAAGGTGCTAGCACAGAGATTCATTTCTAACCCTAAGTTGTTGTACCAACACGTCAACTCCATTCGGAAAGTAAAGTTTGGTA